GCAGTCAATGTGTGATAACAACTGCCATTGGACACTTGCTGAAGATACACACATTATGGTAGTTTTCACACTGTCCTTCAGAGCTCACAGCTGGTCTGTCTTCCTTGTCCTGCCCATGGTTTTATGAGTATTACAGATTGGTTTCCTGGTTTTTGTTTTAGCTGAGGCATCTCTACTGAAAAAGATCAACAGCAACTGGATTTGAAATGCGAGGGTGTGACAGATGAAGCAAAGAATTCAAGCTGGATCCTGAGGTCTGGTTGAACGACGTTAAGAATCAGTGTCTTCGAATCAGACGCTTTACTGGGTCAGCCAAGTTTGATTCCCTACTGCTGATGGCACTTTTAGCCATAGTTTCTGGGGGAGGGGATGACTGCAAATTGAGATGGTATCAAACTGTTGTTACGGATAGCTGGTATTGTCTCCGAACTGCCAGTTACCAGGCATCCCTAATCAGTAGGGCCAGATGAATGCTGCGATACTGAGTTCTGCAGCTCCCTAACGCTCAGTTTGATCTCCAGTACCTCTTTGGTTTGATTATCTTCACACTTTTCCAAGCTTCACAAGCAGGTTTGTGTTCAGAAACTCCATCTGATTCATGGCCATTCTTGTAAAAAATCTCTTTTTTAGATAATCTAGGTCAAGAGTGCACACGTAAGAATTGTTTGGTTTTTTTTTTTTTCCTTCATTATCCCTTTTCTTTAAAAAAGCCTCTCATCCAACCAGAGAGTGGGAAAAAATGTTACAAGACTTAAGTGAACCTTGAGACACTGTAGAAAATGAATAACAAACATCTGAATCATAAAAGCCTGTAAACTAATTAGTGTTCATCAGACTACTCAGTAAAGATTTAAAAATAAAAAACATGCTTGAACAATTCAGGATCAGATTGCAAAAGATTTTTGATTCTTAAAAAGAGCTAAGTTTGTTCATCTGTCTATTTAAAACAAGCAACCAGATCTGAATGTATGCATTTTTTGGAATTTGTATTGTAATTGGAAAAGGAGATACAGAAAATTAATCAGTCTGGAAAGCTATTGAATAACTACTCCTTTCTGCTCTTTTGTTATGTGCAAACCCACCTCAAAAACTATTCACTTTGAACCAAAATACTAAAAATCCCATTGCAAATGCTTTCCAAGGTTGTATGATGAAACTATAAGTCTTTTTTTTCAGAGTTCCTGAACACCCATGGCTCCCAGTGTTTTTTGAATTTTGGCTCCATGGAGCCAGATGCCAAGTGGCTGTGGAAGCCTGGCTGTGAAGGGCACTGCCTTGGCAGGGCTTCAGCCTGAGTTCTGGACTCAGATTGCACCTAGTCACACAGTGGAAGTGAGAGGACTGTGGTCCTACTCCAGTCTTGAGTGCAAGGTGAGCTGAATAATAATAATAAAAAAAAGAAATAAGTAATAAAAAAGAAAATCCTGCAGGTTTTGTTGTTGTAGGCAGACCCTCACTAGAAGATTCCTAGGACTGTTCATTATCACTACTGATTTGTGGTATCAATTGAGTCTTTCAGAGCATGGATACTGAAAGAGTACAACAGTTCTGCTGCCCCAGCATCATAATACTGTTTAAAGTTTGTCAGACAGGATAGCAACACTTTAGGGATGTGGCATGAAATCTTCCTCAACTGGTCTTGTTTTCTGTCTCTCCCCTTACTCACTCACTGCTCCCAAGGGGCTGGGATCCAGAGGGACTTCATCCCAGGCTTGATGCTTCAAGTGCATATAAGCATCCTTCTCCCATACCATCGTGAGGATTCAGGATATCTAACCCTAGCATAATGTCCTCCAACTATCAGGATTCACTGAATGCATCTCGTCATTCGAGGACTTTGGACTGTCCCTGTGTCTCCACTGCTAGAGTCCTAGAGGTGCTGAGTAAGGAACTGTCCCAGCTGAAAGGAGAGCAGGAGAAGGCACATTTGCTATCATTCACTGTTGTCATATAAAAAAGTCATCCACCACTAGTTAAGGCTGATTGCATCTAAGAAGTATAAGGCCATCTACAATCTATTTGCAATTTGTTCACCAGCTTTCAGTAAGGGGTTTGTTGTTATTAGGATTTTATTTCCCAAGTGGGAGACGGTAAAGAAAATTTAGTCTTCGTGTGCCAAATTGGTAACATGTAGGAGATGAAGCCCTTGGGCCAATAGCTGCAGTTTTATCAGATTTATCCAATGAAATATTAATGGACTAAGCCTTCCCCCAATTGTCTTTTTTCCTTCCTCATGGTGGTAAGTAGATATTATCACCCACATTTTTCTGATGGGGGGATATGCTTGTCTGTTGCTGCAAAGTGAGATAATAGCAGTAGTGGGAAAAAGAGCTTAGTCTTTCACTTTAGCCCCCATCCAGCACCCTCTTCCCCAGCATCAGTGCACAGGATGAAATCAACTGAGGGTGCACAGACACATTGTACACCATCCTATTAGAAGGTGATGTCTCAGCATGATAAAAACAAATTAGAGTTGCACAGCATTTGCAGCTCTCCAAGAAGAACTAAGATGTGCATCTTGTCTTGTCTCAGGTACACTGATATACATCAGCCATCTGGCTAAGTTCTGCTCCTCCACTTCTCACCTGAAATCAGGTGAAATCCCATGTGTCAGTGAAGAAGGCCTGTGAAATACTCCCAGAGCAAGTATGCCTTCATCCAGAGCATGCTCAAGTGACTGATCAGATTCCTGTTGACTTAGGTAGCTTTACGTCAGGCCTTGAAAACAGGACTGGAAGTAATAGCCCCATCTGTGCACAGGGGCTTTCACCTCTACAATATTTCATTCCCCTCCTGTCAGGAAGCTGAAACCATTATAGATTTAGTTTATAGCTGATACAGAGAGAGAAAATGACTCAAAATTCTCATCTATTACTGTCTCTCTAAAATCTTGAATCTTCCATAAGATCTGCAATGCCATCATCTGACACGGGAGAGTGGCTGAAGCTCTACCTGAGCACCACCAATACAAGGAAAAGGAATTTCTGCGCCACATTGATCTGAAGGAAAAAGAGTAACAACTTCTTGGTGATATTATGGCACACTTACACAGCTTCACTACATGTCTACTAACGACCAGGAAAACTGGAGGCTTTTGAAATGATGTGGGCTTGTATCTTAACATACTTTACTCCTGATAAAGGCACCAAAGCCCCATTTCCCTTCCTTGACTTTTCTCTGTCAGCTGCTTTATGCAAATCCTGACACTGTTCTGTCTCTCTCCCTCATGACCTCAGGCTGTTTTAGTATGTAATTCCCGGGACTTTCTCACTCAGAGCTTTGTCACTACTAACCTGCATCTTTTTGCCCTTCTGCATTGGCCATATAGAACATATACGTGGTAGTCTAATGAATTTTGACTATTAAGACTTCCACTGGAACAGTGCTTCCTTGTACCCTGGGATAACTGCACTACTAGCTAACAGGGTTTTACACACACCAGGCTAATCTTCAGATGTTCCTGATGACCCAAAGGTGTAAAATCATGGGTCTACTCTAGCCGACATTGTAAAGAGCATGGTGAACATCTGTTCTGTTTTACAGAACACATTGGGTTATGGTGATCCTGTCTGCACTTGGGGGGACAAAGGTTTTCCAATTCCTGTTGAAGGGAAGTAGCGATATTTTTGATCTGGTGTTCTTAATAATAAGATAGTGGCATACTTGAGAAGAGCATGATTCTGATGCCTGAGGTACTGCTACTGATCCTGACCGATCCTGTTTATACTAGTGGGAGCAACGTTTTCGTCAATGGTTAAAGGATCCTGGACAAAGAATGATGGAACCAAAAGTGGGAGGTATTATTTCATAACTGACATTTTATTCAATTAATTTGAGGACCTAATTGAGGGGACGAGTCATGGTGTGTTTGGCATGACACATGGAAGAACTCTAAGTGCAGACACAACCTACAGGTTCTGCTACTGCTCAAAAGCAGCTCAGATCCCACTCTGAACCTCCACAGCTCAGCTCTAGAAAGCTGACATGAATCTCATGGTCAGCACAAACCAGACTATTGAATTTCTCTCTTGCTACCTGTCTAATATGAGCAACTGTGGAAAGGCCTTGGACTTTTGACTGCAGCATGGAGAACATTTAGAGTTTTGATCTCATTTCAGCAGGTGCAGGTTTCAAGTCCTTGAAAAACAAATGGTCATTTGCTTTCCTGGTCACCCCTCACTCAGTTTTGTTCTTGCTGTCATTAGAAATGGCACAAAAACTAGTGAAGGGGAAGGGCTTAAAATAGGGTTCCCTTTCTAACCAAAAAGTTTCTGATGAGCTAACAACGTAAGTAAGTGCAAATCTCAGCTGTGCTGGTCCCATGACATCACAAACCTTAGGCATAGCAAGTAGCATTCTTGAATGCATCAAAATCTTATCTTTTAGCATTTAATGCGAGACATTACAAACCAATGAAGAGGAGAAATGTATGCAGTGTTGCTGTAAACCAAATATACAGACGTAAAATAATTAAGAATAAACTGTTCCATAAAAATGCATGTCAATAAAACCCAGTCTGATAAAGTGATTTATGAATAATTTTCTAGAATTACTAAAAAGAATGATTTCTCGTTTGAGGCTCTGGAAGTCTTGAGTCACATTTTTTTTCTTTTAAAAAATGTCTTAAAACACATGGCTTTACAGCTGCTGCTTGGAAAATATACACCTCCAAAGTCTGACTTTCATTTAAATACAAATGTACAAAATGTAAACTGAGACAATAGAGAAATTTACAAAACTTTTCTTTAAAAATAATAAAGACAAAATTCAGTTCTAGTATGATGCTATTTAAATACGTGCAAGTAGTCATGTTCATTGAATTTCTATTGCAATGTTCTAAATAGACAAATTTGATTCACACAGTCTTGAGTGCCACCTCCAAAAACAGACCTGAGTGGAAAATTCTTCTTAAAATGCGAGGCTCCACTGGAAGGAATGGATAGAAAATCTCCATTTTTGGGAGATCCTTTATTTTTCACTCAACGGTGGAGGCTCTCTCATCCATAGAAGCTCCATAGATTATAGTGGAAGGATGCAACATGTTGTTTCATAAAACTGAGTTGGAACTAGCTGCTTCCAGTGGAGTTTGAACTTACGTGATTTGAATTTATGTGGTGATTTAAACTGGCCTTTGAATTTGGAGAACTCTTTGAATTGTTCTGATGCTGTAGAAAGAGGAAGACAATGACAATTAGATTCCCAAAATATGCCATGCTTTTTTTTAGGCTGACATTGTTCATTTTATGGTGATAATGTACTGACTGGACTATAAGATTTCTGTTTGAAGATCTTTGGATGTAAAATATTCTTCACTTTCTTACCTGTATTCTCTCTAGGTCAGGAGGACCATGGCAGTTCTTGAGGAATGCAGCAAAGAAGACTCACTTGAGCTCCAGGAGTCAAATCAATTCACTGCAAAATGCCAGTATCTGCTAAATCTGACTAATACAGAGGATACCTGCTAATGCTCAGGCATGGTTTTAACCCTACAGAAATAGATCGGTCTAAGAACGTTATTTAGATTTGCAAATGGTGCCATGGTGCCTCATGAAAGCTGTACAGTGTGTATTCTCTGGTCTGCTCTCTTCTCCAGTGTCTTGGTTTCCTGACACGACTACCTCACTCAACATTTGCATTTTCTTTTTTTTTTAACACATAAATGAAGGGTTTTCACAAGGAACTTATCAAAACCATATAACCATTTCAAAAGGCATTTCAGCATACCACTGAAAAATAGTTTGGGTAAGAAGTTTTCAACCACTGGAAACAAAGCTGATGAAAAACGCTGGAACTTCTGGTGGTAAAAACCCCATAATCCGATTCTCTCTCTTGTTCGCTCACTCCCCCTCCCCGCAGTGGGATAGGAGAG